ATTTTATTTTAAATAAAATGGAAAATTCCGTGGAGTGGCGTGAATTGATTTACACTATGAAAAATTCACTTCTGTTGCTCTGTTCAGTGAAAAATAAGTAAGAAAAAGGCCAAGGGTTCCATTAGCTGTTACTCCAGATTAGGAGCAGGATAGTGGAGATGTGTGAGAGGTTTCGGATTCAGTCAGTGGAAGCTGTTTCTTCTCCCTGCTTTAGTGAAAGCAAGCACTGAAAAGTCCGGCCTTATTCTTATCTCGGTCCCTGAGGAAGACAGGTGAGCTGCAGCTGGAAGCACAGCAGCGTGCAGTGGGGAGGGAGAGTGCGGGGTGTGCGCATCTGACGCGGAGACCCAGGCGGGCGTGCCTCCCAGCGCGAACCTGCCCCATTCCAGCAGCAACGCTGGCCAGATTGCTCAGGGTTTGTAACTTTGCGCCTCGGTCCAGCCAAAGTCCGTCCGACTGGAGAAGAGCAGAGCATGAGCCACATGTGTGGCTCCCTTCGAACCCCGAGGGCGCCGCAGATGAAGGCCGCGCCCTTCTACAGCAGCCAGGGCCCGTGTCCAGCCTTACAGCCTCCCCACTGTGCTTAGTTTCCCTGCGTGCTTCATTTGTGTAAATCCGGAAACTGGCTCCAAGCGCAGTGGGGACACGAGCAACGATGCTCAGAGGCGAGCTCTGTGAGCCGTGGGGGGCGGAAGAACCGAGGCGGCGACATTTAACAACAGGAGGAGCGAGCATAATTTTGGGGCCCCACACCCAATTCTATGGTTTTCTGCTTTTTCTTATGAGAAAGATATGTTCAGTTCTTGAATTTTTCAGCATTTAAACGTGAATTTGGAACACACTGAATTCAACAAGCAATACTTCACGATATTGGGTTGGTGAGAGCCGTGAAAATGGCACGCAGAGGCTGCCTGTGCATCCTGGAGAGCTGTGAACGGCAGAACCGGCCACCAGGCGCGGTGGCTGACAGCATCAGGACGGCCACAAGCCACGTAGGCGGGCAGGGGCTCGAGGGCTGGCCCGTGGCTCCGGACTGTCAGACCTGCTTGCTGAATATATTCACCTGAACATCTTACTGTCTTCTGCATTTTTATTGCAATGTTTGGATTTTTCAAGGCAGGCAGCTTTTATTCTCCGGTTGCCTCAGGTTCGCCTGGATCCATAGTTTCTGTTTCCTGAGCTGAACACCAATTTCTTAACATGGTTTTATTTTCTATGGTTATAATATAAGAAACTCAATCCTTTGTCTTTTTAAAAATTATTTCTCTTTCAAGTCTCTAAAACTAAAAATTACTACTAGAAAAAAAGAATTCTTCTAACATCTCTCTTTACTGTAACTTAATTCAAATTTGGGGGAAAGCCTAAACAATCAAACTTTCTGCTTTGTTTTCAGGATTCCTTCCCACGATTCACAAATCCCTTGTCTGGAGCCTTGCTTCAGCAGATGGCCTGTGTGGTACGGTGACCAGAGCCCAGTCGCCAGAGCTTCTTTTGCCTCTGGTGTTTCTTCTGCGCAGTTGTCTTTCCATGTTTTCTCCACAGAACTGTTGCAAATCTGTCTCGTCGCTGTCACTTTTGTGCTGAGATCTCCTGTCTCTTGGGATTTCCACATGCTTACAAACTGAGTCTTTATTCAGCTGCCCGATGTTCTAACATTTGGTATTTGTATCTTCGATTGGGTAGAAATTTTTTATTTTTTTATTTTTAGGGAAGGGCGTACAGGGTCGGACTTGTAGTGATTCTCCTGTTTACAGCCTCCCAAGTGCTGGGATTACAGGTGCGTGCCACCACGCCCCGTCTCAATCTCCATCTCATGGAGCCCCAGGGGGCGGGGCCAGCAGGGCAGGCCTGGGAATCGAACCTTCGGCCCCTGTGCCTGCTGGCAGGTGCTTTAATCTGCTGAGCTATTTGGCTGGCCCCTAGAAAATTTTTGTTTTAATGAAAATTTTTAATAGGGAGTTAAATGTTTATAAAACTAGGACAGCAGTACATTTCTTTAGTCACACCCTCTGTGCGTTCCTTGACGCTGTCTGGGTGGCTCCTCCCGAGTCCTTGGGGACATCTTCCTCACACTGAGCATCCAAGAGGCACAGTAGATGCATGTGAGCAGTATCCACATAGCAAGTCTTCACTTGTACCCTGCAGTCTGTGACGCTGCATATTTCAAGTGACTGCTCTGTACATTTAAAAGGTCTTAACTTTTGCACATGTTCCTGTTTGCCCTCTATAAAAAGTGAGATCTTTGGATAGAGTGTCTCTCTCAGTTTTCTTTTATGCTAACTCCCAGTGCATCATAAGTTGCTTGATTTCCTCTCTCTCTCTCTCTCTCTCTCTCTCTCTCTCTCTCTCTCT